ATTGTTACTCAGGGACAGACACAGAATTGTTACTCAGGGACAGACACAGAATTGTTACTCAGGGACAGACACAGAATTGTTACTGAGGGACACAGAATTGTTACTGAGGGACACAGAATTTTTACTCAGGGACAGACACAGAATTGTTACTCAGGGACAGACACAGAATTGTTACTCAGGGACACAGAATTGTTACTGAGGGACACAGAATTGTTACTGAGGGACAGACACAGAATTGTTACTCAGGGACAGACACAGAATTGTTACTGAGGGACACAGAATTGTTACTGAGGGACACAGAATTGTTACTGAGGGACACAGAATTGTTACTCAGGGACAGACACAGAATTGTTACTCAGGGACAGACACAGAATTGTTACTGAGGGACACAGAATTGTTACTGAGGGACACAGAATTGTTACTGAGGGACACAGAATTGTTACTCAGGGACAGACACAGAATTGTTACTCAGGGACAGACACAGAATTGTTACTCAGGGACAGACACATAATTGTTACTGAGGGACAGACACAGAATTGTTACTCAGGGACAGACACAGAATTGTTACTGAGGGACACAGAATTGTTACTGAGGGACACAGAATTGTTACTCAGGGACAGACACAGAATTGTTACTCAGGGACAGACACAGAATTGTTACTCAGGGACAGACACAGAATTGTTACTGAGGGACACAGAATTGTTACTGAGGGACACAGAATTGTTACTGAGGGACACAGAATTGTTACTGAGGGACACAGAATTGTTACTCAGGGACAGACACAGAATTGTTACTCAGGGACACAGAATCGTTTAATTAAAGAGTATGTCAGACAACATGCAGAGGAGTGGCAGAGGAGGCAATGTTTTAGGAGCGAGCAGACGTGGCAGCAGAGGAAGGGGTCGAGGCAGCACTAGTCGCAGCCAGAGGCCAGTGCTCCCGGTGTCATCCAGCGGTCGTGTCTCCACCGACAACCCTGCCGTCATCGATTGGTTGGCTCGGTCGTCTTCCTCTTCCCAGGTCACCTCTGACACCTACAGCCAACGGTCGGTGGGTACGTCAGACACAACCGTTAGTTGGCATGGCCCGGGACCAAGCCCACTGAAATCACGTGTCCTCTACCTGCCCCTGTCCTTTGGTGTTCCCTCACCAAGCGAAGTATCGCATGCTGTGGGCTCAGCCCACTGTACAGTGAGGAAGAGCTAAACAGAGGGCGGTCAGGAACAGGGGGAGACATCCGCCTCTTCAGCAGCCAGGCAAAGAAGTAGTGGTGAGGAGAGTGGCTCGGTAGCCGGTCTAGAGACAGGTCTGTCTCCTGACCCAGACGCAGCCGAGGGGGCTAGTAGTGAGGCAGAGACCCTAATTGATGATGATGAGGCTGATCGCACTTGGCAGCCTCATCGTCATCAGGCTATTGCTTCCGCATCATCAGGAGAAGAGGGTGGCAGCTTGGCAGCGAGCAAAACAGTCGGTGGGTTGCCCAGGAGGCAGCAGGGTCGCAGCAGTGTCAGTGGAGGCAAACGCAACGGAGTAGAGCACCAGCTCCACTGCTGCCTACCACCACGGCCAGTAGTGGTGCCGGTGTGCACAGAGGAAGTAGCAGTCAGCCAGTGAGGAGTATCGGGGGCAAAGTTTCCTACTCGGCGGTGTGGCAATTTTTCGTCAAGCCGCCCGAGGAAGTAAACGTAGCCGTATGTCGACTATGTGGCCAGAAAGTCAAGCGTGGCCAGGGGGCCCATGTTGGGACTACAGCGTTGCGTCAGCATATGCAGCGTCACCATTTGGTGGCCTGGGAAAACCGTGATAAAGATACGGCGGTTCTGCCTGCCCCAGCCCCCGCTCCATCACCCGCTCCGTTACTTGCTCCGTCACCCGACGTCAATCGCCCTCTATCAGCCAGTCAAGGCTCCAACACCTCTGCTGAGGGGAGTTGTCGCTCGTTGGCATCTTCCGCTCGTTCAGATGCTCCTTCTCCTGCTACTCCTCTTCACGGATTCCGTCAGCAGTCTTTTTGGAGAGAGACAACAGTTTGCGAGCACGCACCCGACGGTGCAAAAAGCTGAACGTCCTCCTGTCCAAGTTGCTGGTGCTGCAGTCCCTCCCTTTCCAAGTGGTGGACTCAGCACCTTTCCGAGAAATGATGGCTTGTGCCGCGCCGCGGTGGGAGAGTGCCAAGCCATCATTTCTTCGCCAAAAAGGCAGTGCCAGCCCTGCATTCACATGTAGAAGAGATGGTGGGCCAGTCTTTGAGCATGTCGGTCTCTGCCAAAGTGCACGGCAGCGCCGACGTGTGGAGCTGTAACTACGGTCAGGGACAGTACATGTCATTTAGGCCCACTGGGTGAACGTGGTGCCGGCTCAGCCGCACCCAGCAACTTGGACAGGTCACGCCGCTTTTGCCTCACACGTTTGCACGTCCTTGGTCCAAAAAGATGTCCGCCTCTACCACCTCTTCTTCCGCCGTGTCCTCAGCCGCCACCCCCGTGCCAAGTCCCATTACCCGACCGGCATATCACATGTGCAGGGCGCAACGGTGTCACGCTGTTCTGCACCTGGTATGCCTTGGCGAACGTAGTCACACAGGGGAGGAACTGCTGAGTGTAATGAACAGAGAAATCGACAGATAAGCTGTCTCCGCCCAAACTGAAAATCGGAACCATGTTGACCGACAACGGAAAGAACATGGTGTTCTGCTCTGCGTCAAGGAAGGTTGTGCCATGCGCCATGCATGGCTCACGTGTTCAATCTGGTTGTCAAGCGGTTCCTAAAATCCACCATTCCCACTGCAAGGTGACATCCTTAAAAATGTCACGTAAACTTTGCATGCATTTCAGCCATTCCTACACCGCAAAGCACACCCTCCTTGAGCTGCAGCGGCCAGAACGGAATTCCACAGCATCGCCTGATCTGCGACGTTGAGCAACAAGGTGGATTCAACCCTACACATGTTAGACGCCTTTACAAAAACAGCGAAAGGCCATCACCGATTTCCTGATGTTACAAACTTAGATGTCAGCCATTGGCAGCTCATGCGTGACACCTGCCACTTGCTCAGGCCCTTTGAGGAGGCCACGCTATTCGTGAGTCGGTAGGACTATGGGATGAACGACGTCATTCCTCATGTTGCACGTCCTGAAACAAATGCTTTTTGTTAACAATGGCTGGTCAGGGTGTGGTAGACGTGGCGCATAGATCTCAACGCCACTATGACCCCTGTGGGGGCAGGACAGGAAGAGAGGAGGAGGTAGAGGAGGAACATTTGTGCTCAGGATTATTGAGTGAAATGGGGGTTTTCCACAATCAGCGGACAGGACGTGTGGAGGAAGGAGCAGGATTAGCATCTGGAATAGAGGGTGAGGTCGGAGGAGACAGAGGACCCAGACGCACCGTGGAAGGTATGCTGTGGAGATGGGAGGCAGGGAGTCCCTCGCATTCCTTGGCACAAATGGCCCATAGCATGTTCGGTTCGCTTGGTTAGCGACAGCCGAATAATAACCATCAGACAGAGGGATGACTTTTGGCTGTCCACCTTGTTGGACCCTCGCTACCGTTCAAAAATGGTGGCCTTTTTCACACCTGCTGAGAGGGAGGCACAAAATAAGTACTATAAAAACCACCTATGTAGTCAGTTTTGGTCTATGCCTTTGTGCGCCAAACGTCCACATCCTCAGACACTGTGGGCCCTGTGCGCTCGCCCGTTACGCTGCCATGGCAGCAGGGGAGGGGTGTGGGTGGTAGGAGCAGTGGCAGCTCACCAGCAGCGGCTGCTCAGTCTGCAGTCGATGATGAGTAGCTTTCTTCACCAGCGCAGTGAGGAAAACTACTAACCAGCGCAGCAGCAGCTAGCAATCAGGTGGAAAAAAGGCCTGGAAAGCAGGACCCTCAAACAACAGGCTTGGGCCTACTTGGACAGCACCCTGCCAACCGAGGTAGACAATCCCCTTGACTACTGGGAAACGAAAACTTGACCATTTGGGTGGGGGGGGGGGTCCCCAACTAGCTGAATTTGCCCTTGAAAGGCTGTCATGCGACGGCCGGCCAGTAGCGTGGCATCGGAGCGCGTGTTTAGTGCGGCAGGAGGTATTGTAACTCCGCGGAGGACAGACTGTCCACCCAAAGTGTGGAGAGACTCACGTTTGTGAAATGAATCAGGCGTGGATTAGTCTGGATTTCAAACCACCAGTTCCTGACACAACTGACTAAATCCGCCATGGAATCATGCCCCAAACAATGTGCCACTTTCAGGTCTCCTCACACTGTCTGGTGTGTTCCATTTTTTGTCATAGCTTGCTGGCAGATTACGGGCCTCCAATGCTGCTGCAGGGCCGTAATCTGCCATGGGCCGTAGAACCCGTACCGCCCTCCTCATGCTGCTGCCAGGTCCCCAGAGTCTCTCATGTTAGGTACTGTACGGGCCTCCCCATTGCTGCTGTCTCCTCATCGCCACACACTGGCCATGTGCCACTGTCAGGTCTCTCACATGTGGTGTGTTCCATTTTTTGTCATAGGTGCTGGCCAGATTACGGGCCTCCCATTGCTGCTGAGGCCATGCCTGTAATCTGCCATGGGCCCCTAGGATACCGCCTCTCATGCTGCTGCCAGGTCCAGAGTCTCATATGGGTCCTGTACGGCCTCCCATTGCTGCTGTCTCCATCGCCCACACTCTGCCATGTGCCACTTTCAGGTCTCTCCACAACTGCTGGTGTGTTCCATTTTTTGTCATAGGGTGCTGGCAGATTTACGGGCCTCCCATTGCTGCTGACCAGGCCCCGTAATCTGCCATGGGCCCTAGTACCGCCTCCTCATGCTGCTGCCAGGTCCAGAGTCTCTCATGGGTCCCTGTGACTGGCCTGCCCATAGCTGCTGTCTCCATCGCCACACTTCGCCATGTGCCCTTTCAGTGCGTCCTCACTCACACTGCTGGTGTGTTCCATTTATTTGTCATAGGGTGCTGGCAGATTAGGGGCCTCCCATTGCTGCTGCCAGGCCCGTAATCTGCCATGGGCCCCTGTACCGCCTCCTTCATGCTGCTGCCAGGTCCAGAGTGTCTCATGGGTCCCTGTACGGCCTCCCATTGCTGCTGTCTCCATCGCCACACTCTGCCTATGTGCCACTTTCAGGTCTCCTCACACTGTGTAACCGTGTGTTTACCATTTTTTGTCATTGCCCAGGGTGCTGGCAGATTACGGGCCTCCATTGCTGCTGTGGCTGCCAGGGCACCCTGGACCCTCTTCATGCTGCTGTAAGAGTGTCCATGGGCCCCTGTACCGCCTCCCCTCATTGCTGCTGTCGCCAGGTCCCAGAGTTCAGGTCTTCCCACCATGGGTCCCATTTTGTCATAGGGTGCCAGATCCCATTGCTGCTGTCTCCATCGGGCCCCTGTACACTCTGCCATCCAAGTGCCACCCTGAACGGCAGGTCTTCCTCACACTGCTGTGCCACTTGGTTGTTCCATTTTTTGTCATAGGGTGCTGGCAGATTACGGGGCCCTCCCATTGCTGCTGCCAGGCCCGTAATCTGCCATGGGCCCCCTTTCATGTACCGTCCTCCTCATGCTGCTGCCAGGTCCAGAGTCTCCTCATCATGGGTCCCATGTACGGCCTCCCATTGCTGCTGTCTCCATCGCCACACTCTGCCATGTGCCACTTTCAGGTCTCCTCACACTGCTGGTGTGTTCCATTTTTTGTCATAGGGTGCTGGCAGATTACGGGCCTCCCATTGCTGCTGCCAGGCCCGTAATCTGCCATGGGCCCCCGTACCGCCTCCTCATGCTGCTGCCAGGTCCAGGTCTCTCATGGGTCCTGTACGGCCTCCCATTGCTGCTGTCTCCATCGCCACGCTCTGCCATGTGCCACTTTCAGGTCTCCTCACACTGCTGGTGTGTTCCATTTTGTCATAGGGTGCTGGCAGATTACGGGCCTCCCATTGCTGCTGCCAGGCCCGTAATCTGCCATGGGCCCCTGTACCGCCTCCTCATGCTGCTGCCAGGTCCACAGTGTCTCATGGGTCCCTGTTACGGCCTCCCATTGCTGCTGTCTCCATCGCCACACTCTGCCATGTGCCACTTTCAGGTCTCTTCACACTGCTGGTGGGTTCCATTTTTGTCATAGGGTGCTGTATGGCCTCCCATTGCTGCTGCCTCCACCGCCACACTGTGGCTCCACACTCTGGTTTTGGCCCCGTGACTGCCCAAATGAGTGAAGTGTGCGGTGATTCTAAGATCGACGGCACTCATCTGCATGTCATACTGACTGACAGTATTATTTCTCTTCCCCAGCAGACTCCAAGGGCATTTAAATTAAAGGTACAGTGTTCTGCACTAATATGAAGGCTCTCTGAAGCCTAGAAACACCCTTTTATAAGTTAAATTCGCAGCGAATATATTCGCATCGAATCAAATTTATTCCTCGAATTCGCCGAATCATCCGAATCGAATTTTTGAATACTTTGCTCATCTCTAAACACAACGTCTGATTTTCGTTTACTGTGTATAGTAATCATACGGAAATAATCCAATAGAAAAAAATTGCATGTGATCAGAAGCATAGAATGACCCTACACTTCATCTTACACTATGCTAGTACGTAGCTACGTTTGCCTACATTTGAGTTTGTCGGTCGAGAATTTTCTTACAGATCAATACCATTCCAAGTACATCATGATATGCACTTTCGTGGAAAATTGGACGATCAGTCATCTGATTTTCTCACAGTGTGTACTAGACTTTAGTCAGGAGTAGACAATGACAGAAATTTTAACTTTATCATATTCTCATATTGGTTTTAAAAGCAATTTTTATGTACATTTATTTATTTTATGTAAACACTGTCTTGTGGGTATTTTATTTTGGTTCTATGATATTTCTCCAAATAATTATATACTATATGTAGGTTTAATTAGATAACTGGTTGCTATTTATATAAAAAGCATACTGCTTATTCAGTTAAAGAATTCTATGCTCAATTATTATTGCACTCCCCATATATGTTATGAATAATATCATTCAATTCAGAAGCTAAAAACAAGGATGAATTGCAGGAAAGTTTCTCTTAAATATAATTTTTATTAGAAATGTCCTATGTAAAATGACCCTCTTTTCTTCTGTGTATGAACGTCATAGGTATTCTGTTACAAATTTAATTGGAACCAATTAGGAGTTGATAGTGCAAGATAGGAAATTGCAAAAGGAAGCAAAATTCTTAGAAAAAGAGATCTGTGCCTAATGAATATTTATAGCTGCCTAGATGATGCCAAATTCAGAAAAAAACTACAAAAAGGTGAATATAAAAGTCAGTGCAGAGAAATCATACCATACACAGTAGTATAATACATGTTTAGTTTTATAATATGATATTTATATATATATATATATATGTTTATTGTATTGCTAAGTGTTAATCTTAGGCCTACTTTAGCATAATAGTGCTCTCCCATAAAGACATATCATCAAAGAAAGACTCCTGTCAAAACTGAAAATTAGGTCTTGAGATACATAGAGAGAGAGCACAACTTACTGCTCAGTAATTTCTTATCTTGGCATGGATGTACACCATTCCACCTAAACCACTTTTGTTGGTCAGTTGATAATCTAAGAATATCTGCTTGTAATATAGAAGACAAACTTCCGAACAATATTCTCACTGCAGGCGTTTTCTATCTCTAGCTGTCAAGCAAATTCTGTGAGCAGAGAGCAGACCAGAGCCACACTGTGTGTGTGTGTGTCCATAGATGCACACAGGCCAGCTTGAGAGCAAGCCCGCACGTGTGCCACCATAGGAAGCAGCTACTTATGTTGGCACACAGAGAAAAAGGAGTAGCCAAAATTGTCATTGAGGGACCCCAGAAGAGGAGGCTCAGGACTTGTCTGTGCAATACCATTACACAGAGCAGGTAAGTATAAGATGTTTGTCATTTAAAAAAAATCTTAGCCTTTACAATATTTTAACTTACATTGCATTACACTTCACATTAAACATCATCACATGCATTGATGTGTGCTATTATGTACATTTATATGCATCAATATGCATTTTAATGGGCGACAAAATTGGTGTTGATGTATTTCCATTGATTTTAAAGTGTGTATATCCACTTCCATACCGGGCACTTTTACCCCCTGCCTGCCCAGGCCAATTTTCAGGTTTCAGCACTCTCACACTTTGAATGACAATTGTGCGGTCATACAACACTGTACCCAAACTAAAATTTTAACATTTTCTTCACACAACTAGAGCTTTCTTTTGGTGGTATTTAATAACCACTGGGGTTTTTATTTTTTGCTAAATTAACAAAAAAAAACAACAACAATTTTGAAAACAAAACAAAAAAACACGTTTTTCTTTATTTCTGTTATAAAAGTTTGGAAAGAAATAATTGTTCTTCATAAATTTAGGCCAAGATGTATTCTGCTACATGTCTTTGGTGAAGATAACCCAAATTAATATTTATTATTTAGCCTGTAGGAAAGTTATAGAGTTCACAAACTATGGGATACATCTGAAAATTGATCAATCCTGAAGTACTGACGGCCAATCTAATTTCTTGAGGTCCAAGAATGTCAGAACAGTACAGATATCCCTCAAATGACCACTTTTTGCAAAGTAGACAGTCCGATGTATTTCATAACAGGCATAGCTAGTTTTTTGAAGTTGTAATTTTTTTGTCATAATTTTTCGGCAAATGAAGAAATTAAAATAATTATTTTCACTATTTTTTTTTACATACTGTCACCAGTGCAGTACAGCATCATCATATAACGGGCATGGCGGTGATCAGGGACACTGGTGACAGTACGAAAAAAAAAATTGATAATTTTAATTTTTTTTATTTTTTTATTTTTTTTTACATTTGTTTAAGATTTTTTTTCATATTTCACTATGACCAAAGTAGTATACTGTTACCATAGTAACATTGTACTACTTTGGGGAAGTGATCAGTATTTTTTTTTTTTTTTTACACAATTTGCTTATAGCAAAGAATTACTTTGCTATAAGCAAGCATTTACCTGAATGATATCGATTCACTCAGGTTGTTTTTTTGTGATTAGCTGTGATTTGGCAAGGCTAATCACATGACACAACTGGGCTGTGATTGACCCAGCTTGTGCATGTGATCGCTGTGACCATTCACAGCTAGCCACACTTGTATACAATGGATGGCATGAAAGGAAGCCATCCATTGTATACAACTGTCATGTAACCTGCTGTGATTGGTCACAGCAGGTCCCATGGTACTGGTAACGGGGCCGGTACACAGATCTGTCATCGACCGTGTCTGAGGTACACGGCTGGTGATAGATCACGCTGCCACGCGGCCCTGCGGGCATGTGCAATATGCGTTCCTGAAAGGACGGAATATGGCGTCCATCCGGAGGGACAGGGTGTTCACCCGGCCGCCATCTGGCTATAGACCGGGCGGCAACAGGATATATATCCAAATTATTATTTTCTTCTGATTTGTATAGAGTAGGTAGGGGTTAAAACTCCTACCAGTACTGTTTTTGAAGTTTGCTGAGGAGACTTCCTTTCACTTTCTATTTTGGAGATGCAACGAGAAATTAAAGGAAATCTTCCCAAAATGAGGGTAATTCCTATTTTTACATTTTAGACATTTGTCCCCATTGAAAGTTTTCCCCTCACCTATTGCTCTCATGGCAAACTCTAAAATGTGGGTTTTCCCCTCACTGTCTGTCTCAGAGACAATTGTCACCAGGAAATAGATTGGCGAATCTCCCCCATGGGAACACAGGTGACAATCAAAGCTTAGCAAATTGACTAAACCCACCACTATTCAAAATTAGAATAAAAAGTTTTTCCGTTACATACAATTTCCAGGACAGTGCATCAGGCATAAACACAGTAGTATGAATTTGACGTAAACTGTTTCTGCTCTGGATATTTAATCTATAAGCAGGTAAAAAGCTGGTTAATGGATACAAAGAAAAACAAACAGATGGCACTCTGGTGCGCCCTCTGTTTTTTTTCCTTTGTATCCAGTGCCATTGAACTACCCCGGTCCGTTGAGGGCAGCAAGGAGTGCATTTTCCAGGATATCTGTGATGTTTCCATAACCCTAGCCGAGTTAATCCCGAAGCGCAGGAGTACAGAGTTTGCTGTGTTTTCAAAATGCTGGCTAATGAGGCAGCTGCTGCCCCAGTCAGGAGGGAAACAGTTAACCTGTGGTCCGCACTTTCTATTTATTCTTTTCTCCCTATGCTGATAATAAATGGGGGGAAGGCTCTGCGCAGTCAAACAGTCTGCATGGGAGGAGACACAGACAAGACACAGTAAGTAATCTCCAGCCACATTACAGAGCTGCCACAGAGAGCCTTGCCTGCCTCTAGAAACCTTCCAAATGTAGAGGGATTGCTGAGACCTGCAGTACTTCCTGAAGAACACCAGTTCTGAAGATCTGGCACTGTGGACTGTGCTTTGTATGGAGTCTTGCTTATGCAGGTACACTGGGGCAGCCTGAGTTAGGGATTAGTTTAGGGAAAAGTCTCTGCACTTTGTTTTGGAACTGTTACGCTAAGAGTTTCCAGTACAGCTTTTGAAACTTTGTCCTAGCCTGGTCTGAAGTTACTTAAAGGGATGCATGGTTGTAATCGCATATAAAAGAACAGGGCTGTAGTGCACGTAATGGAGAAAAATCCCTCACGTCTCACATTGCTGCAAATCCACTGTAAAGGAGAAGATTGAACCACTTAAAGATACCACGGAAATGCAACATTTGACCAACAGGCTAAATAAAGATCTGGTTAAGGTGGATCAGGAAGTGGAATATCGGAAGTCAAAGAAATACCGCAGAGATTATAATGATATGAGAAATAATCAAGTTTTTAAATGGCAGTCTCTGTCAAATGAGGTGGAGGCGGCCTCAGCTAATACCACTCCAAAAAAAGAGAAAAAAGTAATGGCAGAAAATCCTGGATATACGTATAGGGACAATTCAGGAAGGAATAATTTTACCCAAAATTATAATAACAGTTACAATACTCAAATGTATCGTACACCCAAGAATAATTGGAAACCTAGAAATGGAGGAACAGGGAAACCATAAGGAAAAGGGCAACCGTTTAATCAGAGGCCATATTTTTATAAAAATAGGCCCAATTATCACCCTGGTAATAATTACCGCCCTCCACACAGACCATTTATACCAAATGGTTATGTGGATGGGGACAATATTCTGATGGTAGGTGGGAGTACCAGAGGAATGTAGAAAAAAGCCCTTTACCTGTTTATAATAGGTTTGAACCCTTGAGAGGAGATTATGAACATGGGGTTTTTTTTAGAGAGCAATCAAGGGGAGAGGAGTCCCATGAGAGAA